GTATACCAGACAACCAAAGAGGTCCAAGCAGGACTCTTCACGTCACCTTCTGCCGGCCTAATAGGCCGCGTTGTTGAAACGGATGTCGCCGAAATAATAGCTGGATGTCCGGAGATTTCGATGTGGTGGTATGTTTCGATATGGCTGCGGCAATCTGCGGCCTAATGGAAGATGATGCGAAACTCTTTCGACGACATCTCAGTTTCTTGTTGTCCACGTTATGTTACCTTGGTAGAGTTTTGGCTCTCAAGGTTTACGACGTTCATCTGCGCGCAAGCAGGACTTCGCTTTCTCTTCGAGGCAGCATGGGGTCCGCAGCATCCACAGTGAAGAATGAGCTCCAGTCAAAGACCGTTGAAGACATCACTGCGGTATTGAAGGAGTTGCCCGCAGACCAGCTTGCCAAGGTCGGAGGGGCTTTGAAGGCGGCCAGAGTGCGCTACAACACCCTTCGCGAGTCTCCCGCCGACGCCAAGTACAAGCTTGCCATCGTGCAGTTCAAGGTGCCCGGCGCCACGAACGGCGGTTCCGACAAGGGCGCGGACGGTAATCGTGTCGATTCCATCCCCATCGCCAACTCCATCATCAAGGCCGGCGGTGCTTGCGAGTGCATCCTCTACGACGCCAACGACCACGCCAAGTTCGTGACTGACACCGCCAAGTACGATGCCCTCATTGTCCGCATCAACCCCGGCCAGCTCTCCCAGGGCACCCCTGAGGGCACCCAGGAAAGGTTTGATGCCCTCATGAACCAGTACATCGGCGAGGGCAAGCTCATCTGGTCCTCTCCCAAGATCCAAACGCAGATGGGCGCCAAGGATGCCCTTGTCAAGATCGGCAAGCTCAACTGCGGTCTGGAGGACTCCCTCGCCTACTACTCTGCTGAGGAGCTTGAGAAGGGCTTCAAGACCACCTGCGCTTTCCAACCCCGTGTCATCAAGCAGAATCGCGGTTCCGCTGGTGAGGGCATCTGGCTTTGCTGGCTTGTTGACGAGAACAAGGAGCTTGTCAAGGTCTACCCGGCCAAGACCTATGGCGAGTGCATGCTCAAGGACACTGACATGCTCAAGCTCATGGAGATGAACGACAACCACGTTGAGTACCACACCGTGAAGGAGTTCCTTGCCTTCTGCGTTGGTGGCCCTGATCATGCCGATGCCGGTAAGTGGGAGTCCACCTTCCCCGGCAAGTACCTTGAGGGAGGCAAGGAGGCTGGTGGCCAGCTTGTTGACCAGCGTCTGCTCCCCCGCATTGACGAGGGCGAGGTGCGTGTCCTGATGGCGGGCGACACCTGCCAGATGGCCATCCACAAGAAGCCCCTTGGTGGTCTCTCCGCTGTTGGTGGCAACTCCGTGTACACCTACTACGAGCCCACTGACGCCAAGTACAAGGGCCTCATCCAGAAGCTGTACGACGACATCCCCACCCTCCTGCCGTCCCTTGGCCTGGCAGGTGAGCCCCTGCCGCTCCTCTGGACTTGCGATTACATTCCCAAGAACCCCGACAGCTGGGAGAAGGGCCCCTACGACCGCTCTTGCCCTGATGATCAGACCGAGTACACTGTTGGCGAGTTCAACTGCTCTTGCGTCGGCATCTCCAAGTTCCAGGCTGTGTGTGGCGGTGAGAAGACCCTCGCTGACGTCCCGGATGAGGACTACTTCGATGCTGAGCGCCTGACTGACCTCATGGGTGTTAAGGCCATTGAGATGCTTGACGCTGCCAAGAAGAAAGCGTGAATAAGCTCAGCAAGTAGATGCAAGTAGGTCCGAGCAGCGAAGGAATGTGAGTGTAGCTCCCTTTTGATGTCTGATATATGTATCACAAAGCAAATTGCGCGATGATTGTTCAGGAACTTCCAAAAGAAGTTTTCGTGTGACAAGTGCGGTTCTCCGATAAAATCTCAGAGGCCTGTACTGCACGATCTGCACCATCGCTCCCAGCAACGGTTCCTTGACGCGCGCGGCGGTGTTCAACTAGGAATGTTTTCACCCAGGGCAGCGCAGTTGACTCTACGATCCATGGTTGGGTCTGGCTGTGGTTCGTTGTGCGCGGCAAGGGACTCTATTGCCCTTGTACTGCAGCTTTCAACCTTGCGCTCAAAAAATCCAGTCCGTGTACCTGTTCCTCGCGTGCATCAGCTGGGAACATTGCAACATAGCACCACAAATCATCTGTGTGAGTCCGTGAGTTTGCGGCAGGGATGCGTGGCTTCTTGTTGCCTGATGCTAAATAGCCCGGGCTTTGCAGCCTTGGCTCCAGGGCCTTCTGCCACTTCGGCACTTTGTGTGAAGCAGCGACACAGGAAAGGCAAAAAGGCAACGACTTATAGGACCTGGGTGCGCAACGCCGGGGTGGTAGAAAGCTTCATGTTCTCAGCGGCTCAGAGGGAGAGGCATCGAGTAGGTCAACTAGAAGCATGGGGACGTTATCGCCGTTGCCGCCGATCTGGAAACCAAACAATTGCCAAGGGGCTCAGCTGTTTCAGCATGGGGCCGCAAGGGTGGAGGAGAGTTCGTCTTGGGGTAACTGGGGCTACGGTGTTGCGGGCGTTCGCGTGCCTACCGTATTGCAGTATGTGTTACCACTCTTATCAGTTCGAAACCCTTGAAAGGGCTCAGGGCTCAGGGCTCAGGGCTTGGAGTGCTTTAAAGTATTTCCAGCAGTAAGAATCGACGGGCCATCCAACTCGTGAGAGGATGTTCCACCGCAGATTGCCCAAGGCCCCAACACGGCGCAAGACGGCCAAGCAGGTTCTCTTCGTGCCCCACCAGCAGAAGGACGGGGCCCTGAGATTCCCACCCCGAATATGAAGTCCCCAATCCCCAACTAGAGCACATTCCGGTTATCATGATCTGTTTCACATCGATCTCAGCTGGAAATCCCTTGGGCCGCAACAGGTTCACAGTGGCGTTTGCTATGTAGGGGCAAGAAACGTGTAGACGAGACTACTTGGCTGTTTTGCCAGGGGCCCACTGCCCGCAAACACGCCATGGGGAAAGTTCCACTGGATCAAGTTCATGGCAGGACCCACTGCTTCGGTGCTTATGTTGCGCCTGGAAGCTTCTCTTTCAAGGCAGCCTGGAAAAAGAAAGTCAGCATGTAGGGGAAGCCACGTCTATTTGGAGTCATGTTTCTTCAGACCAGCCGACGTGTCCTACTCGTAGGTCTTCATATGAGCACCTGAAAGCATGTCATTTTGCACTGCACTTCACAGGAAGAAGAGTATGCCCTTGTGCATCTTCGACCCCAAGTAGTTGCTTCAGTTCAGCCGGGCTGGCACATTGTGAGTGGCTGAGTGAGTGAGTCGAACGAGTCAAGCTCCATGTCACTGTCTCACAGGCGCAATCGAGCGTTTGTCGAGTTCCGTCAAAGCTCGTTGGCACTTGGGCCAGCTTTCTACAGGTTCAACCCTAAACCCTAAGCCCTAAGCCCCTATACCAATTATAGCATCGAGCAAGTCGATCAGAAGCACCGGGACAGTGTTGCGGGGGCTCACGCGCTGACGGTATTACCACACATACGACATGACTTGCGTATCGTACGTGCAACATGCAAGGGGCTGTGCCAGGTTGGCATTTACAGCGTAGGTCATGATCGCGAAGATCTACTACAATGCTATCAGTTTAGCAGAGAGGAACACTGAGCATGTCACTTTCTAGCAGACAGAGTAAACGCTATCACCGGAATCAAGGGGTTGTTACAGCAACTTTGTTTCCGGAACCTGTTTCAGTAACTAGAGCTATACAGGGAGCTATGGGGAGGCCTGTGCAGTTCCTGTTTTAGGGTTTAGGGTTTAGGGTTTAGTCGGTTCCTGAAACGTAGTTCCTGTTACGTGGCGTGCTTGGCTGGCTGTACACACCCGTGCTGTCCGGACGCCCATAGAAGTCATAGAAGGCTTCTGCAAGAGGTATGTGGTTTGAGAGCCTTATGATGCTTTATGTCCCATTTCTGCCCCACTTATGCCCCACTGATGCCTGCTTATGCCCTTCTTGACCTGGATAAGACCAACCGCCAGCGCTTTTCTTGCAGGCAATGGCGAAACCAAGTCCGGGCTGACTCTGGGGGCATCAAAGCAAGGCCACAGCTTTGATTCGCTGAGGCTTTCTGTGTTTCGTTCATCGTGCGGTGTCCTGTCATGTGTGCTGGAAGCATCCAAGAAGTCGTGCCGACCGTTTGATCGGCTGAGGCTGCTTGCAAGGGATTCTCTCGCGCCCTCTCGTGCTCCGCGTAGGCATCGCCATGTCGGCGCAGGAAGAGGTCCAGACTGAGGCGGAGACCCTCCTCGAGTCCCAGAAGGTGTCGCGCTCAAAGTGGACTGCGCCAGCTGTGGGGGCGGTCTTGGCGTTCGCTGTGGTGGGCTTCTTCTCCGCCGGCTTCGCTGCGGGCAAGGGTGCCAGCGCCAGCACTTCCAAGGAATTCTTGGGCCTCTCGGCAGTCTCGGCATGCGCGAGCCCCGAGCCGGTGGATTGCCAGTTGGGCGCCGCGGATCAGAAGTCGTTGGTCTTCATCGCAAGCACCGCCCTGGAGACACCCCAGGCCCAAGCGACCTTCGACGAGATGGCAGCGAAGCTTCCCAAAAAGGAGGGAACAAAGGGGCTGAAGGCCCTGCTCATTGAGGACGCGCAAATCATGAAGGGCAACTTCTTTGACAAGAGCAGCAAGGATCACTTGAACCCTCGCGCCGTGAACTTCGAGAAGGTGGAGAGCTCCGGCGGCATGAACTTCAATCAGGCCGATGTTCAAGCTTGGACCGATGGGTTCCAAAACATGGATTCCAGCTGGGGCTACGACAACGCCGGGATCGATGGCTTGGGCCGCATTGGGATGGAAGCCCAGGACCTTGCGGGGCTTTTTGGGTGTGCTTGGGGTTCCGTTCGGAAAGCAACTGACGAATTCACAGAACTTTAGAGCACGGCCGATAAGGTGTAGCAAAAACAGCAACGAGGCACTACTGCCGAAGCGCCCGCCGCTAGGACTTCAGCAGGGTGTCCATCTTCGGTATGTGCGCCAGCAAAGAACAGGCCAAGGCTTTGTACGAGCTGCAGACCAAGAAGATCCAGCCGACGGTGCCCATGACAGTGGACGCCTCCAACCCTTGCCTGAAGAAGTTTGAGACGCTGCTTGACCAGTCCAATGTGGTCTTCGCGAATGGCGGCAATCCAGACATCTATGGCTTTGTGGTCAAGAAGTTTGCGCCGCAGCTCGGGGAGCTCATTCGGAAGCGCGTGCAGGAGGGCACGCTGCTTTACATGGGCCGCAGCGCCGGCGGCATGGTGGGTGGCTCCGACTTCGCGCTCACCTACGAGCCGAGCCCAGCCCTCACCAGCAGCTTGCTGAATGAGGATACGAGAGGCCTTGCCTTGGCAGGCAAGTGTGCCTTGCGCCCCCACATCAAGAATCACTTGTGGGACATCACAAGCAAGATTTATGCCAAAGCCACTGGGCAAACCGTTGTCTTGGCAGCCAACGGTGAGGGCCTCTTCTGTAACCAGGGCTGCTGTGGCATGACTGGCACGACGGAGAAGACGGACCCCGACTCCATCAAGAACGCTGGTTACTCTGCAAGCCGCATTCAGAAAGCCTACCAAGCGGCCTACAGTGGTGCCTCCGAGCCCACGAAATTCTACGACAAAGCTCAGGCGGCTGAGGCAAAATGCGGCGAGACCAGTGGCAAGGTAGTGCTGACATCGAACGGCTTGGAGTCTGCCGCTTCCCAGCAAGCCTTCGTGACGCTGCTGAAGAAGGACCCTTCCACGGTGAAGGTCGTGTCCCTGGATGACGGCGCTTACTTGTCGAAGGGTTTCTGGGATGCAACCGATGCGGAATTCGCCAAGGTTGGGGGCGTCAACTATCTGACGCTCCAGACACCGACAGCTCCATCCATGGTCCAAGAAGCCACTCAAGGCTTCCAAGGCCTCGTGCCCGGATCTGGCTCCACGGCGGATACGTCCTTGCAGACACTGGGTGTCAGCCCAACCTCCATCTCCCACATCTCAGCCTTTGACCGCTGTGCCAGCCAAGAGCAGAAGCAGGCGCTCTTCGCGTTGGAATCCCAAGGCGTGCCCCCGAAAGTCCCCATGGAGGCAGATGCGAACTGCGTTTCGAAGCTGGTTGGGGAGTTGGCCTCCGCGGACGTGGTGGTGATGGGTGATGGCAACGCAGACTTCCTTTCCTTCGTCTACAAGAAGTTTGCCCCATCCCTGGGCCAAGCCCTGGTGGACCGTGTCACCTCTGGCAACAGCGTGTTCTTGGGCCTGGGCGGCGGCTCGACCTTCGCCAGCGCCTCCACCATGGCGGCGGGCTCCACGGGAAGCAAGATCCTGAAAACGCTTCTGCAGGACAACATGGAGGGCCTCGGCCTAGCGGGCTCCTGCGCTGTTCGCCCCGGCTTCAACCCGTCTGTGGCGTGGTGGGACATGACCTCCGCGCTCTTCGAGGATGCCACAAAGATGGACTTCGTGGGCCTGGAGGACGGCGCCGCGCTGGTCTGTTCGGGGCAGTGCGCGGTGAGCGGCTCTGAGACCGCCTCGAAGATGATGGGAGCGGACAGCGGGAGCCTCCACCGCGGCCGCGTGCACATGATCCTGGACAATGCCCTGGACTGAGCCCAGCCCCCCGTCCTTTCTCTCCTTAGCACAAAGTGACAAAGTGTCACTTAGTTCTTGGTTCGGCGCATTTCGGCGCTTGATTGCTCGGATACTCTGGCTCACTCTCGGCAGAGACCCCCAGAGTCCGAGACAGCTCGAGGTGCGAGGTTTGTACAGGTTTGTTATATTTTCCGTAGATTTGGTATATGCTTTAGGACTTGTTCGCTCAGACCCGCGTGTGGAGCATTCACGTGAAAGAGTGAGAAAAAGTGACAAATGAGCCCGGCCGCCGCTAAGGCATTGAGCCCAGGCCTCGCTTGGCTTTGTTGCTGGAGTGCCTGGCGTCCGGGCTCGTTGCTTGCTGCCTCACCCGTAAGCCGTCTGCTCCAGGCATTGCTTCGGTGGCAACCCGATTCATCCCGGCGCCGCCCCCGACCTTGACTGAGTCGAAATCATCAAAGTTGGTCTCTTACTCGACTCTGGCTGCCGTAAATGCCCTGTTTTGCATGATTTTGCATGCTGCGCTGGGTGTAGGCGCGTGCGGTACGGCGTGCTTCCACAGTGCCCTGAGCGCCCCAATGCCCTTCAAAAGTGTGTCGCTTTACCTCAGGTCCAGCGGGCTTGCCATAAAAGGCCCCTACTAGAAAAAGAGCCCTAATCCGGCTCGCGGGGGCGCCAGAGTGGCTCTGGCTGAACTTCCTCTTAAACAGGAGGCGCAAAGAGTCCCGAAGCAAAAAGCAGCAAATCAGAGCAAAACCGCCGAAGCCGCAAAGCTTACACACTCTGCCTGTCTTCGCTTTCATCTCGTCTTGCCTTTCTTGGCCTTTCTTGGCCTTTCTTCTTGTCCCCTCTCCTTTCCTTCAGAGAGTGAACGGTTGTCTCCCGTATTTCTTTCCCATGTGACCTTATCTTGGCCTTAAGTGGGCAGGTCAGGAAACGGATGTGAGATGTTTGAGGGGTCAGGGTCTTTTTAAGGATCGGAAAGAGAGGACCTGGGACTATTCTCTTTTTGGTTTCCCCCTTTTTGGTCGCTCTTCTGAGGGACTGGGCGCCTCTTTGCTGCAATTCGTATCCGATCTCCCGCGATGAGTTTTTCCGCTGTTGAAGAAGTGCATCTTGCCTCCAACCTTGTTCACAAAGTCCAAGAACCGACTCCTTCGACGTGCTTGTTGTGCAGGAATCCCGCTTGAGCTGCTTCCCTTCAAGGTTCTTGGCGGTTGTTCTAAACCCATGCCGCCTTTCTAGAGTCGCAAAGTATCGTTGTAGTATTTTTGGTGCCCTTCCACACTTTAGAACGCTCCCTCTTGAAACTCTTGACTCCATAGGAAACCACATCGAGAGACATCCCTGGATCTACGCAGAGCCCACAAAGCGAAGCCCGCGCAGGGTCCCGCCGAGGGAATCTCTGGAGTCCCCCTGAGAGAATTCCGGGTTTATGGTTTAGGGTTTTAGGGTTTTAGGTTTTAGGGTTTAGGGACCAACTTACACGGGTGTTCACGTCGTTGCAGCGGCCCCGCCAGTGTCCATTGCGCTCTCGCTCTTTCGCCAGGTGATCAGGTGATGGGCTTGGCCAATGCCACCGAGCAGTGCACTTCAGGTGACGGGCTCAGCGTCTTTGCGACTGCCACTCCATCACATATTGCCGCAAACGAGGCCAATACCAGGATGCCCATGTTAGGGGCTTGATCCTTATCATAGCATATTCTGTTTATTTATAGTGCGCAGAGCTCTACGAGACTGCGCGAATCCGGAGGCCGAACCCACTCTGTAAGACATGAGCGAGGAAACCCCTTCCCCCGGCACACCGCTGCCAAGCCTCCCCGTTGTGCCGCAAGGTTTTCAACAGTCTCCGACGAGGCTCTGAGTCCCTTCGCCCACCCTCGTCGCGCCCATGGCGCAAGCAGATGGCGCCTGGTTCACGAAGAGGGCCGCTGACTTCGTGCCCGCGGCCGCGAAGCCGGAAGGTGGAAAGAAGCGCGTGTCAAATCAGTCCCGCATTGAGCCGCCAGCAAACCCGCACCCGGTGGAGAACACGCTCCTTGTCCTCCCGAAGCTTGCAGTGCAAGAGCTGAAGATCGAGCCCAACATGTCGGACAAGGGAGACGAAACGAAGACGCTCTGGTTCGGACGTGTTTGGGAGCTCCGCGAGCTGCTCCGTGTGCAGAATGACGAGCACCTGACACGCACCAACGCCGACAAGTCGATGTCCGAGCTGCAGCTGAAGGAAGCGGAGAAGAAGGCTTTGGATGCACTGCTGCATGCAAAGGAGTACAGGAACATTTTGACGAAGATGGCTGCTCGTTTCAAAGGGGTGGTGGCACGGCGCAAGAACAGCCTGTGTGTGCTGGACCGCTTGAAGAATGCCTACTTGAAGGGTACGGTTGTTTATGCCCATGGCTCTGGCGGGTGCAGCTGGGACAACCTCCGCTTTGGCCGGATGTTCGCCCGGATGGGCATGCTCTTCATCTGTCCTGACGGATTCGCCTACCCGAAGCACACGGACTTGGGCAAGCTGCGGCACAAGGATGTGCAGCCAATAAAGCAAGCGACGGATGATGTGGACTACTGGTCCCCCGACCTCGTGTATGCCTCGGGTGCAGATGGTGAGAACACGTACTCTACCAAAGCCGATTCCGTGCTGCAGGATGCAGACAAGTTCCGCGAGCTCTACGAGAGATGCTACCAGATGCGTCGGCGCGAGTTGCACTGGACCATCGAGAAGCTCCCCAGATGGATTCGGATGCAAGGCTTCTACCTAGGTGGGTGCTCCGAGGGGGCCATGACGGTGTCGCGCTTCGATGACCAGCGCTACGGAGATCAGCTGCTGGGCCGCTTCATCATCTCCTTCAGCATCGAGTACTGCTACTTCACGCCGACCCCAGAAGACGGTCGCCTGGGAGGCAACTTGGACGTCCCCACGCTGAACATCATTGGCACCGAAGACGAGTTCTTCGGTGCGAAGAACAGCGTCGCTGCCCTCGTCCAGGCGGACAAGGAGCGCGGCTTTGGGGATGTCAAGCTCGATGGGCATGGCTTCGATACGATGATGGAGCAGGAGGTGAGCACAGGCCGGGTTGTGTCGAAGCTCATGACTTTAGGCATTCTGATGCTGTAGGGGCCATGCTAATATACAAACACATCAGGGAGCAGCTGCGTAACTAGAGACTTGTTTCTGTTGTGAGCACAGGCCTCGTTTGCTACATGGAAGGGGCCATGCATGGACCATGCCCCACCCATGACAACTTCATCCGCCGTTTGTTCTCCACGTTCTTCACACGCCCGCAAGACATCTGGAAGATTGATCAGCTTTGGGCAATCGATGACCGTCTGACGGGCTGGGTGGAAGTTCTGAAGAAGCGCACGAAAGGTCAGAAGCTTGCATTGGTCCACGTTCCCCTGATGGATCACTCGAAGCTCACTCTGGACGAGGTTGACGAGCTGCGTGTCACCCAGAAGAGAAGGGACGTGCTCGAAGCCAACAAGGGCCATCAGGAGCACATGGAAGAAGCCGCAAAGGCGAAGAAGGCCATCCTTGAAAGCGTGCAGAAGCGACAGCAACAGAGCAAGTAAACGGAGGCGGTTTGTTCTCGATGCGGTCATGGCCGTATCCTGACATGGCACGAGGCACTAGGCACCTGTGATTCAACCAGAACTGCGGGAAAACCCTCAGCGCCCGTTTTCTCTTAGGCTGTGTCAATCTGGCATCCTGAAGAGGATCGCGCAAATAGGTTTTAGCTTTCAACAGCCAAGACAGGCACCCCTCGACTGCGGCGCACCGCAGGATGAAAACATTGCAGGGCCGGATGCCTTTCTTGTACAATCCCTAAAAGTCCCTGAAGCCCTTCGCATCCGACAGCAGCTAGAGAAGCCGCAGGTGGAGCAACTCATGGCATCTTGCCACTCCGTTCGCGAGCTCATTCGAGCTCCTTCGACTTGCAAGTAGGGGTTTCGGAGCTTGGGGATAGGAAGGTGCGTGCCTAGGACTCGACATGGCTACTCGAGCTCCTCATGACTCAGATCATCTCTCACCTCGTTTCAGGTGTTTCTGTTGAGAATTCTTGACTCACGTTCGCAGAGTAGGATGTCAGATTTCGGAGCAAGCATTGTGTCATTGTGCTACTCAAGCCCCAGAGTGCAGAGTTCTGGTTGAAGGACTTTCCCTAGTCCCAAGCGCGCTCAGGGACGGGCAAGTGCCGACGACGTCATCATCGAGGCCCGAAACTCACGGCCGTTCGCCGCCAAATTCCCATCCCATTGGGCTCTGCATGCCTCACCTGTCCAAAGCCACGGGAAGATTTTCACCACTTGAACCCTGAACTGTCAGACTCCAAGTTTCCCATAGACCACAGTCCATTGACGTCTATCGTTTTCTCCATGATACAAAGGTCACGTCCAGACGTGCACGGACAGGACAGCAGTGACTCAGCCACTGTTCCCTCCATCATCTTGCCTCCAACCTTGTTCACGGAGTCCTAGAACCGACTCCTGCGACATGCCTGTTTTGCAGGAATCCCACACGAGCTGTCTGTTCTGAAATTATGCCCAATTTCTAGAGTCACCTGTATCATCGTAGTAAATAATTAAGAGGCCCTCCATACTTAGGAACAGCCCCCTCTTGATTCCACAGCCCGGAAAACGGCAATCACATCCTACTGGAGAAATTCCTGGAGCGCGCCCAGTATCCCGGAGTGCCCACATTGCCCACCCCCGAAGCCTGCGCAGCAACCCACCGAGTATCTCTGCAGTGCCCACCCTGAGTGAATTCTGCGGAGAGTCCCGTGACCAACTTGCAAGGAGAATGTTCATGTCCTTCTCAACTGGAGCCACACGGCCCCGCCAGTGTCAACTGCGCTTTCGCCAGGTGACGGGCTTAGCCAATGCCACTCGAGCAGTGCACTTCATGTGACGGGCTTAGCGACTCACTCCATTGCAACAAGGCCCACGCATATTGAAGCCAATCGAGGCCAATACCAAGATGCTCATGTTAGGGGCGTGGTCCTTGTCATAGTATATTCCGTGTATTCGTGGTGTGCGAGTCTTGATGGCGTCTAAGTACAGAGCATCGTGTTTCTCGTCATGCAGTCGCTGTTGCGAAGACCTGCGAGGTAGTCAATGAGCTCACCACACAGTGCTACGACGCTGCGCGAATCTGGAGGCCGAACCCGCTCTGGAAGACATGAGCGAGGAAACCCTGCATGCTATATCCGGCGCACCGCTGCCAAATTCCCTTTTGTGCCGCAAGGTTTTCAACAGTCTCCGACAAGGCTCTGAGTCCCTTCGCCCACCCGCGTCGCGCCCATGGCGCAAGCAGATGGCGCCTGGTTCACGAAGAGGGCCGCTGACTTCGTGCCCGCGGCCGCGAAGCCGGAAGGTGGAAAGAAGCGCGTGTCAAATCAGTCCCGCATCGAGCCGCCAGCAAACCCGCACCCGGTGGAGAACACGCTCCTTGTCCTCCCGAAGCTTGCAGTGCAAGAGCTGAAGATCGAGCCCAACATGTCGGACAAGGGAGACGAAACCAAGACGCTGTGGTTCGGACGTGTTTGGGAGCTGCGCGAGCTGCTCCGTGTGCAGAATGACGAGCACCTGACACGCACCAACGCCGACAAGTCGATGCCCGAGCTGCAGCTGAAGGAAGCGGAGAAGAAGGCTTTGGATGCACTGCTGCATGCAAAGGAGTACAGGAACATCTTGACGAAGATGGCTGCTCGTTTCAAGGGGGTGGTGGCACGGCGCAAGAACAGCCTGTGTGTGCTGGACCGCTTGAAGAATGCGTACTTGAAGGGTACGGTTGTTTATGCCCATGGCTCTGGCGGGTGCAGCTGGGACAACCTCCGCTTTGGCCGGATGTTCGCCCGGATGGGCATGCTCTTCATCTGTCCTGACGGATTCGCCTACCCGAAGCACACGGACTTGGGCAAGCTGCGGCACAAGGATGTGCAGCCAATAAAGCAAGCGACGGATGATGTGGACTACTGGTCCCCCGACCTCGTGTATGCCTCGGGTGCAGATGGTGAGAACACGTACTCTACCAAAGCCGATTCCGTGCTGCAGGATGCAGACAAGTTCCGCGAGCTCTACGAGAGATGCTACCAGATGCGTCGGCGCGAGTTGCACTGGACCATCGAGAAGCTCCCCAGATGGATTCGGATGCAAGGCTTCTACCTAGGTGGGTGCTCCGAGGGGGCCATGACGGTGTCGCGCTTCGATGACCAGCGCTACGGAGATCAGCTGCTGGGCCGCTTCATCATCTCCTTCAGCATCGAGTACTGCTACTTCACGCCGACCCCAGAAGACGGTCGCCTGGGAGGCAACTTGGATGTCCCCACGCTGAACATCATTGGCACCGAAGACGAGTTCTTCGGTGCGAAGAACAGCGTCGCTGCCCTCGTCCAGGCGGACAAGGAGCGCGGCTTTGGGGATGTCAAGCTCGATGGGCATGGCTTCGATACGATGATGGAGCAGGAGGTGAGCACAGGCCGGGTTGTGTCGAAGCTCATGACTTTTGGCATTCTGATGCTGTAGGGGCCATGCTAATATACAAACACATCAGGGAGCAGCTGCGTAACTAGAGACTTGTTTCTGTTGTGAGCACAGGCCTCGTTTGCTACATGGAAGGGGCCATGCATGGACCATGCCCCACCCATGACAACTTCATCCGCCGTTTGTTCTCCACGTTCTTCACACGCCCGCAAGACATCTGGAAGATTGATCAGCTTTGGGCAATCGATGACCGTCTGACGGGCTGGGTGGAAGTTCTGAAGAAGCGCACGAAAGGTCAGAAGCTTGCATTGGTCCACGTTCCCCTGATGGATCACTCGAAGCTCACTCTGGACGAGGTTGACGAGCTGCGTGTCACCCAGAAGAGAAGGGACGTGCTCGAAGCCAACAAGGGCCATCAGGAGCACATGGAAGAAGCCGCAAAGGCGAAGAAGGCCATCCTTGAAAGCGTGCAGAAGCGACAGCAACAGAGCAAGTAAACGGAGGCGGTTTGTTCTCGATGCGGTCATGGCCGTATCCTGACATGGCACGAGGCACTAGGCACCTGTGATTCAACCAGAACTGCGGGAAAACCCTCAGCGCCCGTTTTCTCTTAGGCTGTGTCAATCTGGCATCCTGAAGAGGATCGCGCAAATAGGTTTTAGCTTTCAACAGCCAAGACAGGCACCCCTCGACTGCGGCGCACCGCAGGATGAAAACATTGCAGGGCCGGATGCCTTTCTTGTACAATCCCTAAAAGTCCCTGAAGCCCTTCGCATCCGACAGCAGCTAGAGAAGCCGCAGGTGGAGCAACTCATGGCATCTTGCCACTCCGTTCGCGAGCTCATTCGAGCTCCTTCGACTTGCAAGTAGGGGTTTCGGAGCTTGGGGATAGGAAGGTGCGTGCCTAGGACTCGACATGGCTACTCGAGCTCCTCATGACTCAGATCATCTCTCACCTCGTTTCAGGTGTTTCTGTTGAGAATTCTTGACTCACGTTCGCAGAGTAGGATGTCAGATTTCGGAGCAAGCATTGTGTCATTGTGCTACTCAAGCCCCAGAGTGCAGAGTTCTGGTTGAAGGACTTTCCCTAGTCCCAAGCGCGCTCAGGGACGGGCAAGCGCCGACGACGGTCATCATCGAGGCCCGAAACTCACGGCCGTTCGCCGCCAAATTCCCATCCCATTGGGCTCTGCATGCCTCACCTGTCCAAAGCCACGGGAAGATTTTCACCACTTGAACCCTGAACTGTCAGACTCCAAGTTTCCCATAGACCACAGTCCATTGACGTCTATCGTTTTCTCCATGATACTCGTACGAAGGTCACGTCCAGACGTGCACGGACAGGACAGCAGTGACTCAGCCACTGTTCCCTCCATCATCTTGCCTCCAACCTTGTTCACGGAGTCCTAGAACCGACTCCTGTGACATGCCTGGTTTGCAGGAATCCCACACGAGCTGTCTGTTCTGAAATTATGCCCAATTTCTAGAGTCACCTGTATCATCGTAGTAAATAATTGAGAGGCCCTCCATACTTAGGAGCAGCCCCCTCTTGATTCCACAGCCCGGAAAACGGCAATCACATCCTACTGGAGAAATTCCTGGAGCGCGCCCAGTATCCCGGAGTGCCCACATTGCCCACCCCCGAAGCCTGCGCAGCAACCCACCGAGTATCTCTGCAGTGCCCACCCTGAGTGAATTCTGCGGAGAGTCCCGTGACCAACTTACAAGGAGAATGTTCATGTCCTTCTCCGCTGGAGCCACAGCGGCCCCGCCAGTGTCAACTGCGCTTTCGCCAGGTGACGGGCTTAGCCAATGCCACTCGAGCAGTGCACTTCAGGTGACGGGCTTAGCGACTCACTCCATTGCAACAAGGCCCACGCATATTGAAGCCAATCGAGGCCAATACCAAGATGCTCATGTTAGGGGCGTGGTCCTTGTCATAGTATATTCCGTGTATTCGTGGTGTGCGAGTCTTGATGGCGTCTAAGTACAGAGCATCGTGTTTCTCGTCATGCAGTCGCTGTTGCGGAGACCTGCGAGGTAGTCAATGAGCTCACCACACAGTGCTTCGACGCTGCGCGAATCTGGAGGCCGAACCCGCTCTCTGGAAGACATGAGCGAGGAAACCATGCATGCTATATCCGGCGCACCGCTGCCAAACCCCCCATTGTGCCGCAAGGTTTTCAACAGTCTCCGACAAGGCTCTGAGTCCCTTCGCCCACCCTCGTCGCGCCCATGGCGCAAGCAGATGGCGCCTGGTTCACGAAGAGGGCCGCTGACTTCGTGCCCGCGGCCGCGAAGCCGGAAGGTGGAAAGAAGCGCGTGTCAAATCAGTCCCGCATCGAGCCGCCAGCAAACCCGCACCCGGCGGAGAACACGCTCCTTGTCCTCCCGAAGCTTGCAGTGCAAGAGCTGAAGATCGAGCCCAACATGTCGGACAAGGGAGACGAAACGAAGGCGCTCTGGTTCGGACGTGTTTGGGAGCTCCGCGAGCTGCTCCGTGTGCAGAATGACGAGCACCTGACACGCACCAACGCCGACAAGTCGATGCCCGAGCTGCAGCTGAAGGAAGCGGAGAAGAAGGCTTTGGATGCACTGCTGCATGCAAAGGAGTAGAGGAAAATCTTGAAGAAGATGGCTGCTCGTTTCAAGGGGGTGGTGGCACGGCGCAAGAACAGCCTGTGTGTGCTGGACCGCTTGAAGAATGCGTACTTGAAGGGTACGGTTGTTTATGCCCATGGCTCTGGCGGGTGCAGCTGGGACAACCTCCGCTTTGGCCGGATGTTCGCCCGGATGGGCATGCTCTTCATCTGTCCTGACGGATTCGCCTAACCGAAGCACAAGGACTTGGGCAAGCTGCGGCACAAGGATGTGCAGCCAATAAAGCAAGCGACGGATGATGTGGACTACTGGTCCACCGACCTCGTGTATGCCTCGGGTGCAGATGGTGAGAACACGTATTATACAAAAGCCGATTCCGTGCTGCAGGATGCAGACAAGTTCCGCGAGCTCTACGAGAGATGCTACCAGATGCGGCGGCGCGAGTTGCACTGGACCATCGAGAAGCTCCCCAGATGGATTCGGATGCAAGGCTTCTACCTAGGTGGGTGCTCCGAGGGGGCCATGACGGTGTCGCGCTTCGATGACCAGCGCTACGGAGATCAGCTGCTGGGCCGCTTCATCATCTCCTTCAGCATCGAGTACTGCTACTTCACGCCGACCCCAGAAGACGGTCGCTTGGGAGGCAACACGGACGTCCCCACGCTGAACATCATTGGCACCGAAGACGAGTTCTTCGGTGCGAAGAACAGCGTCGCTGCACTCGTCCAAGCGGACAAGGAGCGCGGCTTTGGGGATGTCAAGCTCGATGGGCATGGCTTCGATACGATGATGGAGCAGGAGGTGAGCACAGGCCGGGTTGTGTCGAAGCTCATGACTTTTGGCATTCTGATGCTGTAGGGGCCATGCTAATATACAAACACATCAGGGAGCAGCTGCGTAACTAGAGACTTGTTTCTGTTGTGAGCACAGGCCTCGTTTGCTACATGGAAGGGGCCATGCATGGACCATGCCCCACCCATGACAACTTCATCCGCCGTTTGTTCTCCACGTTCTTCACACGCCCGCAAGACATCTGGAAGATTGATCAGCTTTGGGCAATCGACGACCGTCTGACCGGCTGGGTGGAAGTTCTGAAGAAGCGCACGAAAGGTCAGAAGCTTGCCTTGGTCCACGTTCCCCTGATGGATCACTCGAAGCTCACTCTGGACGAGGTTGACGAGCTGCATGTCACCCAGAAGAGAAGGGACGTGCTCGAAGCCAACAAGGGCCATCAGGAGCACATGGAAGAAGCTGCAAAGGCAAAGAAGGCCATCCTTGAAAGCGTGCAGAAGCGACAACAGCAGAGCAAGTAAGCGGAGGCGGTTGTTCTCGATGCGGTCATGGCCGTATCCTGTTATGGCACGAGGCCTCCGTGATACCAGAATTACGGGAAAACCCTCAGCGCCCTGTTTTCTCTCAGGCACAGACCTTCCGTGCCGATAGGTCACTCTGGGATCCTGAAGAGGATCGCGCGTAGATGCGCGTAGAGTCGGTTTCAGTCAGGAATCGGACCCGATGCATTTCTTGCACAAGGCGCTGAGGACGCAAAGTATCCCTGCTTGGAAGCCTCGCCCTGGCTCCACGTGCGACTTCGTCTAAAGCCCTGAAAGATTACACCCTCAAGTCCCAGCAGCCCTTCGCACCTGACAGCATTCAAAGAAGCCACAGGTGGAGAAACTTTCGGAGAAACTCATGCCATCGAGCCGCTCCGTTCGCGAGCTCATGAGCGAGCTCCTTCGACTTGCAAGTCTGGTTTGGGAGTTTGTGACGATGTTTAGGGATGTTTAGGGTGCGTATGGTGGATTGATTTGCCTCATGGTTCCTGAGTATTGGCCTGTAGAAGGGGACCCCTTACACACCCCTTGCAGACCCTATACAAATCAAGGGCCCATACATCGGAACCTTTTGAGGTTAGGGACCATTCTGAGGGCCCATGGGTAGAACCCCAAACCCCAAACCCCAGACCCCCCAACCCCAGACCCCCGAACCCCAAGCCCCGAACCCCAAGCCCCAAGCCCCAGACCCCAAACCCCTTAACCCCAACCCTCAAACCCCAAACCCTCAACCCTGAAGCCCTGAGCCGTTCCATAGTTGTCAGGTCCTTTCCCTGTCCCACATGTCCCACTTGAAGGTTCATGGTACTTACTAACCAATTATAACTGTACTTATAACCCTACTTATAATACCCCTAAAGGGCCTTATAGGGGTTATCCCAATTATAAGTAGGGTTATAAGCCCAGTTATAATTGGTTAGTAAGTACCATGAACCTTCAAGCACAATGAGCTCCCGGACTTCGAGCCCTGCAGCCCGAGGCAGGTGCGTCTTGTTCGGTTGCGCTGCTTGGGAGCCCAAAAAGCCAAGAGTTGCAATTGGGTTTAGGGTTTAGGGTTTAGGGTTTAGGGTTTAGGGTTTAGGGTTTAGGGTTTAGGGTTTAGGGTTTAGGGTTTAGGGTTGAGGGTTTAGGGTTGAGGGTTTAGGGTTTAGGGTTTTGCGCAAGGATGGAGGTTCAAGGGTTCAAAGGCTCACCGAGCGGCGTACGCCGGTGAATCTCAACTTCAACCAAGGCGAGGGCTCTTGTGGAGTGGGTTTAGGGTTTAGGGTTTAGGGTTTAGGGTTTAGGGTTTAGGGTTTAGGGTTTAGGGTTTAGGGTTTAGGGTTTAGGGTTTAGGGTTTAGGGTTTAGGGTTTAGGGTTTAGGGTTTAGGGTTTTGGAGTGGTCCTCTATAAAGGCTCTTGAGCTGGGAGATGCGTCGAGATGTTTTGGGTTGGGGTTTGTCGCAAATCCTCCGCACTCGGTCCAGTCTCTTACACCCTCGTCTTTTAGGGTTTAGGGTTTAGGGTTTAGGGTTTAGGGTTTAGGGTTTAGGGTTTAGGGTTTAGGGGTCTGCGTCCCTTGCAACTGCAGGCAGCTGACCAAGGCTCCATGCCTTTCGTAAAGAAGCCTCTGCAGACATGTGTCTTTGGGCTTTGGGGTTCAGCATTCCCCCTGGTTCTTAGTAGGGAATGGGGGAATGAGGTACCCTATATACCCTTGAAGTGGTTATGTAGGTTACCTCATTCCCTCATTCCCTACTAAGAACCAGCCAGCTTTAGGGTTTAGGGTTTAGGGTTTAGGGTTTAGGGTTTAGGGTAACACAGCCCAGCGAACTGACCATAAGCTCGGCTCGGAAAATTATTTGTTTGATGCTGCTAGCGTAGCCCATCAACGCTGGCAGAGCCGCACGTTTGTCCTACGAACCTTTGCAAGTTGACCTCTCGGCTTTTGCGAGTCCCTGCGATGCTGTGCGTTGCAAGCCTTCGCACGCCTCAAGGTCCAACTGCACGCGACTTGTGAACTGAAGCTGCAACGGGTGACATCTTGAAAATACAGGTAAACATGCGATGAATCGAGCTTGCAGTCCGTTGAATGCATGGCAGGGGTTCTGGCTGCCTCCTGCCTCACCCGCAATCCCTACGCTTCAGGCACTCCTGGAATGTCAGCCCGACGTTCCTCAGCCTGCGAGGGCTTTGGGGACCTCTGACAATCTCTGACACCCAGCTTGGCCAGAGACCCGGAAGATGCGCTGACCCTGTGTCCCGTGTGACTCTTTTCGAAAGCTTTCGTTCAGCCTTTGTGTGGTTGGATCCCGCCCCTATAGTTTCACACGTTCAGGGCCAACCCGAGACTGTCAGCGAGCGTCTCAACAACCTTCATGATGATCAGGATGTTCCCGCATCTGCGGCTGTTTGAAAGCATTGACGCCAGGCGACAAGGTAGGAGATCTACGTATGCTTTCGAGAGGGTGGTTCACGAAGATGCAAGCACTCAGAATATGCTTAAGGAGAGACGCTTTGTTTGGTGCGGAGAAGAAGTTTCATTCGACCGGCAAGTTGACAAGTGGCACCTTTAATGACATGAGCATTTCGCATCTTGTAGCTTATCACCCTAAACCCTAAACCCTAAACCCCAAACCCTAAACCCCAAACCCTAAACCCTAAACCCTAAACCCTAAACCCTAAACCCTAAACCCTAAACCCTAAACCCTAAACCCTAAACCCTAAACCCTAAACCCTATCATCTCCAGTAACAGTTCAGCAATAGTTGGTCTCAAGGCTGGTTGACTATGTGACATACGATGCCTCGAGTAGCTTAGGGCAAGGGGCAGAGCCTCAGGCTCAACAGAAACCGGGTCCTCATGTCAATAGTTTTATGGCCCTTCAGCCCCTACCGTGAAGTCCCTGATGCCGCCCAGGGAGATCAACATCCGCGAGCCGATTTAGTTTGCCGCTGACGACACGTTTGCTGACGGTTTCTTGGGGGGGGGGGGGGGGGGGGGGGGGGGGGGGGGGGGGGGGGGGGTGCCTGCGTGCACTGCGTGCAAATACTGAAAGCAAAGCGACTGCTCAGGTTCTTCAAAGCTGGCGTCGCATGCTCAAGTCAAAAAGAGGTTCAGATTGGAAGCTTTTTGTGCTTCTCTTCGTTCGCCCAGCCTTAACTTCCTCCTAAACAGGAAGCGCAAAGAATCCCGACGAAGGAAGCAATAAACCGGATCAAAACAGCCGGAGCCTCAAAGCTTACAAATCGCCGGTCTTCTCTTTCATCTCCTCTTGCCTTTCTTCTTGTCCCCCCTTCTTTACTTCAGAGTCTTGGGAAGGTTTGTCTCCCGTATTTCCCATTTCCCATCTGGACCTTTTCTTGGCGTTAAGTGGGCAGACGTCTGATCAGGACTATTCTCTTGTTGGTTTCCTCCCTTTTTTTGGTAGCGCTTTCAAGGGGTTGTGTCATGTACTGCGCGCCTCTTGGAGCCGACGCCTTCGACATGCTTGTTTTGCAGGAATCCCGCATGAGATTCCCCGAGAGCCCAATACCCGTTAGTTAAGGGATGTACATCACATTATAACGGGATCCCTATTGTGATTCAAGGAATATTCCTTGATTAAAGGGTACTGGGCTCTTCGGGTGGCATACAAAGAGCGTATAAGAACAGCCCTAAACTCTGAACCCTAAACCCTAAACCCTGAACCCTAAACCCTAAACCCTAAACCCTAAACCCTAAACCCCGAAACCCTAAACCCTAAACATAAGCAGCGCCCTGCCGCAACGGGCTCGAGTCGGAAAGTACCGTCACCTGGAAGTACGGGGCACCTCTGCCATCCCGGCATCATGCGGCAGCCTCAGATGGCCCTCAACCCTAAACCCTAAGCCCTAAGCCCTAAACCCTAAACCCTAAACCCTAAACCCTAAACCCTAAACCCTAAACCCTAAACCCTAAACCCTAAACCCTAAACCCTAAACCCTAAATGCTAAACCCTAAACCCCTTAGTTTAGGGTTCCTGAAATCATCATAAGTTGAGATGTTCCCCTTTTTTTCGCAGTTCTTCCTAGGGATTGTAATCGGCGGTACCACAATCCCTTTACGTATAAGGGGGAACATCAGGCGGAACATAAGGATACCATTTATAATTTGAGGGTACAAAGGGTATAAAGCGCTCTCTGGGGAACTGGCCTATGGGGTTTCCGAAGTTCCGGGGTACCTTATTGGGGCCGCACCACAAGGGAATCCTACTCTTGGGACTCGAAAAGGGGGTCCTTGATTTTCGTAAAGGTCCATATATGTCTGTGTTGATGATACTACCACGACCATTCGCTCGCTTACGACTCCCAGTGCCAGCATCAGTTTTTAGCGTGCCTTTGCGTAATCCTTTCGCGTACTTTATCTACTTCATTGCGAAAGGAGAAAACGCATGCATTTCCTGCATTTAACTTTCTAGCCGCGGTTACACTATAAATGAAGCCTTTTAATGAAGGTTTTCTATGTGATGAGAACATGGAGACGAAGACCGCCTTAAATTTCCTGCATTTGTGGGTAAACTTCTCCCTCACTGGCCAACAGCTGAGTTAATATCTGATGTTCGCTGGTGATCGAATGCATGATTTCCCCCTTCATTATAATTCCTAGAAAGCATCACTTCGTTCATGTAATTCACGCATTAATTCACGCTTCGTTTACTACGTTCACTTCATTGTAATTACTGCGCTCATTACATTCTCTTCGTAGTAATAATATTATAGTATTAGTTTATAGCCCCCGGGCGGTACTATTATATTATTAGCCCGGGAATTATTCGAAGAGAGAACAGTGTATGAACGAAGAGAATACAATGTGAACGGAATGAATGTAATGAGTGAGAAGATAAAAAGAGAACTAAATTATGAAGGGATTATATGAAGTCTAGAGAATGATTACGAATAGAGGAAAAAGGCGAAGAGAATACGAATATTTTTCATATTTAGTTTTCTCGCTTCGCTTTTTCATTCACTATTTTACTGGTG